CTCAGTGCTCATAAGCAACTGACAAAAGCCGGTTCCTCCAAGACCTGCCAGTCTGGATACCCTGAGGATGTGGACATTTAAGTTGGAGAAATGTATAAATAAAATATTTACTAGAAAACGTCGAGGCTGTCGCACCATCCCGTCATCAGGCGTGTGGATTGGCAAGAATCTGCTGATACGATACGTAGGTGCGGTGCCAGAGTGAGGGTATGATGGAATCACTGGAACTGAAATACTACAGGCATGATGATATATTGATATATTTGTAATGATTTATTCATAGGAAAACTGTCAGCTTAGTAAACACACAAAGCTGTTACGTTGCTAACATTGGAATCACTGGAGAATAAATAATTATTTGCAAGCTTTTTTGGATAAAAATATGAAAAAAAATAGGAACGTTTGACTCAAAATTCTTAAATACTTGCAAATATATGGAGTCACTGTACAATCAACTGGTGGTCGGAGGATTTAATTTGACACAAAAATGAACCAACACCATAAATATTTGCATGATACAGTATCATGAAACTAAATATTGTGATATCTCAGTGGAGTGATATTTTCCTACACCTCTTCCCGTCATGCGTTTTGTTAAATCTGAACAAACCGACGTCTGCACCACATTTCCGCCGTCTGCAGCCAGGCCTGGTGACACATGCAGATTTATGTAAATATTTCACCGCCCTGCGCCACCTGCTGTAGACCTGCGTGTGTGTAATTACCAGCAGAGGGACTGTCTGTGAGCGAGAGATACCTGTTGGCACGGCCGGGGTTCAAGGACATCCGTCTGAGCTAATGGCTCACATCTGAGAAACAAACACATACACATGCTGGGTGCAAATATTGATTCCTTGTCAGTCCGTCTCACTGCTGGCAGCCGTGCTCTTCGGGGTGTAACTACATCATAGGGTTAGGCTCTAAAACTCGGTGCCAAAATATCACAGGCTGCTTCGCAATCGATACCTTCCCTGACCGTATCGCTGCAGAAACGGCGGTCGTTTCTCATTTTTTGGCTCCAGAGCTGTGTCCGGGAGCCACCGGGTTTGGTCGTGTGTGATAGGCTAACAGCCCTGGCTGCTGCTGCTGCTGCTGCTGCTGCTGCTGCTGTGGGTGGTGTCGAGCTCATGATCTGTGTCGGAGACGCAGACGTTTTGACAGTGTTCAGACTTTGCTGTCAGCTCATCATAATTTCCTTTTTGATTTTCTGGTTTTGGCAAAATACAAACGATGACATGGTTTAACGGGAGAGAGAGAGAGAGAGAGAGACAGAGTGAGAGAGAGAGAGAGAGCTTCTGTCTACACTCTATCCCCTCTCCGTCTCCTGCTCATCTGGTCGTCGCATGCATGAAAAATTGATGCATGTACAAATAGAAGCAAATGAAAAAGAGAGAGAAAAAAAGCCAGTTATGAATGCTGATGGAGGACAAGCTCCTCTTTTGTTCCTCCATCAACTGAACTCAAGACTCTCTTCAAACTGTCTGTCTGTCAAATAACAGGTCTGTTCAGTCTGCACCTCTTTTTATGTCCTTTGACAGTCGGTCTGCTCTGTTGTTCCTTTAGTTCAGTTGTTCTTCTTGAAAATGGAACTGTTTCAACCAAAAAAAACCCCAAAAAGTTCTAGGCTACAGAGGTCCTCTATGTTAATGCGAGTATTTCACAAAACATTATTATATTATTAATATTAAATTATATTATCTTTGCAGAACTTGTCAGGTTAATCGTTAATTCTTAGTAGAAAAATTCCACCTTGGGCCGGTCTGTGGAAATGCGGCGAGTGCCCTTGCCTTACAGCTGGGGGTTCATAGTTTGATCCCCTGGTCTTTCTGTTTGGCCTTTGCGTGTTCTCCCAGTGGTGGAGCTGTGATACGACTCCCATCTGCTCCCAGATGATTCCAGACTGGGTTCCAGTTAGACCAGAGTATCTAGACCAGGTTGTGGACAGACATCAGTCCAAACCACTCTGTTCTTCTTCTAACTCTACTTGGTTTTAGGGCTAGAACAAATGTCCAGCCAATGAAAATTCTGCGTCACTCCGCCCCTTAACGACTGACTTTACCCACTTCCCTCCTGCAAAAACAATGACGACATCCCTCCTTGTGTGGAAGTTCTCACCAAAAGAGCCTCTTGAAAAACATTCCTCTGCGCTCTTCCAGCGGAACACTTTTCTGCCAAGGTTTGATTTTAGTGGATTGGATGTTTACAACTCCAATTAAAGCCTCGTGCCACCGCACTGAGTGCCAATCTCTGAAATTGGCACATCTTTCCTGACTCAACAAGGAGAGAAAGCAGCAGCGTTTGAGGAAAGTGTACGCTAAATGAGGAGATAAAAAGGCCGTTGTGGAAACAAAGCCATAATACAAAGACATAAAACCACATTTTTTTATTTGTTCCACAACTGTTCAGATGTGTTATTGGCCTTTAAATCACCACCGCTGCAAAATAAAAATCGTAAAATT